CTCCGACGAAACAGTTTGTCACAGCCCCTCGTTTGTTGTCCTCTTCTCTCTCTCTGCCTGCGGTTTACCGGACAGTTCTGTTTGTGACGATATATGGACAAAAATATGATCTTAACCATAAGCATCTTTCCCCACCAGCATCCATTACCCTGGCCACCCCAGGGAGGGAATTAAGACAACGCTGAGAAGAAGACAACCTAAATCATTCCGATACCATGGTGACAAACAACATTCGTAAGCACCACATAGTACACCTTACAGATCCCACCCAAAAAAAAAAAGCGCCACCCTTACCTCACGACCCCTAATGATGGTGTCCAACTGGGGACCCGTTGAACCGTGGATAGGGTCTTTCCCCACCGTATGTGTCAGCAGCATGTATTGACCTTTTTCCTTTTTTTTTTTTTTTTTTTTGGAGTGCCCCAGCCTGGACCCACTCGGTGAGTTTGTACGAGCAGCCCCCCCCCTAGCATGCCCCCACTGGTCGCACCAGTCTATTGATGGGAAGCTTCACCTGCTGGAAACTGGGTCCAGAGTGCCACCATACATCCGTAGCCACTTGAAAGGTATACTCGGCTTCGGCTGCTACCGTCTTCCCCCGAACACAACGCACCCTTATTTTGGCTGTATCTGGCCGGAAATATAGCTTGTATACATTCATTTTTAGGGTGCATTATGTTCGAGGGAAGACGGTAGTAAACAACATGCATCCAGGGGCGGGGAGATAAGAGAAGGAATTCCGCCCCGTCGGCCCCACCGAGGACTAGTATATAATTTTGGAATACCAATTTCAAAGTCTGTGCTCGGAACACGAATTCGGCCCCTTTTCACGTTGTGATTCTTGAGAATGTGTTGCAGCATGTCTGTGTGTCTTAGCACTTGGATTTGTCAATGTCAACAGACTCAACGCTATTTTATATTTAAATTTTAAACCAGCAGTACTTGGCCCATGCATCGGCTGTGGGCGTTTCCCGCCGCGACTGATGGGCTTCGGGCTACCTGACCACAATGCCTGGAGGCGCCAGCCAAAAGAAAACCGCAGCTCGGCAAAACTTGGCGTGCAGGGCATTTCCCGGTGGCATCAATAGCTGGGCCAAGTACTGGTGGCTTAATCTGACACCTGTATAAGGCTGTATGTATACGTTCCACGAACTCAAATCCCATGCCGCAGAGTAAATGGCACAGTCCCATCCCGCATGCGTAGAACAAAGTTACAGTGATATGTAGGTATGGATGTATATTCGCCATTTGCATGAGACTACTAAGGCTGTCTTTTCCCTCTTCTTCTCACTTCTTCTCCCTTCTTCGCCCTTCTTTCTCCCTACTAAGGCTGTCTTTTCCCTCTTCTTATCCCTTCTTCTCCCTTCTTCGCCCTTCTTTCTCCCTTCTTTCACCCTTCTTTCTCCCTTCTTCTTCTTCTCCCATCTTCTCCCTTGAAAGTTCTTCCTTTCCGTTACTTTTGAGGGGCAAGGACCGCTTCCGTTAAGGCCATAAACTCCATCCCCAGCTTGTCCTTTTCCTCTTCTTCTCCCTTCTTCTCCACTTCTTCTCCCATCTTCCCCCTTAAAAGTTCTTCCTTTCCGTTACTTAGAGAGGCAAGGATTGCTTCCGTTAGGGACATAAACTTCATATCCACGTTGTCCTTTTCCCTCTTCTTCTCCCTTCTTCTCCCTTCTTCTCCCTTCTTCCACCTTCTCCCTTCTCCCATTCCGTTAATGAGAGGGGCAACGACTGCTTCATTTCGGGACCTAAATTCCATCCCCAAAGAGGAGCCTTGTCTACAATTCTGATCAGACGTAAGCTGAAACTGTCATCTGCCACACGCTGACCCAGCTACAACATACTCTAAGACTCTAAGTGGCTTTTCAAAATTCAAACGTGGCAACTCTGCAACTTGCAACTTCAAGATGGCCTCTTTTTGAAAATAGACGGTAGCCCCCATCATCGCTGCAGAGGAGGACTGTCACAGTGTTTCAACTTTCTCAAGTCCGAACATCGAACTCTGAACCTGTCGATCTCAGTGAGATATGTACAGACACAAAAGACTTCTGAATCAGACCGATTATGCATGCAGTTGGCGACATCAGTGCCATAGGTAAAGCACTCAGCCGACATACTACGGAAAAGACAAAACAAAAACAAAAACAAAAACAAAAACACACAGCCGACTCGCTGACAGGCGACTTGACAGAATAATTAGGCAACTACCGTTAGCTGCAGTGGATCTTTGGGGCGTCGCAGTGTGCCCAGCACGGGTGCAAAACCTCAGACACTGTGAGGTCCACCTCTCTCTCACACCCCCGGCCTCCCCCTTCCCCCCTTTAATTACTGGCATCTACTGCACACTTCCCCCCCTGTCACGGGCTATAGAACAACAACATATTACCTCAATGGCGCAGCCATTGCCCGCCCCATAAAGTCTTCTCAAGGCTGTACAGACCCGTCAACTGCGGTGCGGTAAGGACCCTGTAATAGCACGAGTTATTTGCAGCTATCAAGTCATTCTCCCACACCTCTCCTCTCATCTCTCAGGGAAGGGAAGGAGGGGGGAAGAGGGGGAGGTAAGGAAAGAAGTAGCGAAGGGAGGCAGGGAAAGAGGGAGATAAGGAGACAAGGACAGCCTGAGGACGAAGGGAGACAATGTTAGAACCAATGGAGGGAGGCAAACAGTATACTAGTAATTGGTGGGCGGATTGACTGAGTCCCGGCTGATTGATTTGATTACCTTCATGGATGAACAAGGGAAGGATGAAATTGCTAGGCGACAGTGTGGTCTCCTGGAAAGCAGATCTCAACGCATCACTCCTTCGATTTCGTCTTGGCCGTGAAGGCAGGTGCTGCTTTCATCGTCCCGTCCGAGTTATTATTAGAAGAAAAAAAAAACAGAAAAAAAACACCACCCACCACAGCAGAACGAGAATTCCAGCACCCCCAACACCACAAAAAAACGTGCCGTTAGCAAATAGGTGATCTCATAACGTATTCCGTTAGCAAAAAGAGAAACTTTGCAACATACATACGCATAATTTAGCATCCATTACCTCCAACACGACAAGAAAACGGCCTGTTTTTTCTTTTTTTTTCTCTTTTTCCCTTTTTTTTTTTTTTTTTTTTTGAAGAAGAAGACGGTAGGTTCATGCACAGACTGGCTGAAAAAAGTTCTCCTCTTAACTAAAAGCTAGCAAAGCCACACGTGCTGTTAGCAAAACAGTGACCTCACAACTTTTCCCATAACCAAAAAGAGCACTCTTTAACTTTTCAACATACATACGCATAATTTAGCATCAATTACCGCCAACACGACAAGAAAACGGCCTGTTTTTTCCTTTTTCTTTTTTCTTTTGACGGTTTTTTTTTCTTTTTTTTTTTCTTTTTTTTAAGAAGACGGCGTATTCATGCACAGAGAGGCTGAAAATTTCTCCTCTTCGCTTAGCTAGCAAACCGGCATTAATTTTGTTCCCTCCTCCAAGCATGAATGCACCTCCCACTCCCACCTTCTTTCCGCTGTACACTGTCCGCCCATCACAACCTCCCCGCAGTCTGTGCGACGCACGACGCAATTTTATTATGAGATACACAAACGGAGCGGCACTCTTACACAAAACGGTAACGGCATAATTTAATTTAATTCCAAAGGGTATGAAGTCCGTAGATGTACTGCTTAGCTAGTCGCACCTGACCGAGCGCCGACGGATTCATACTGCTCAATTATGCTATGTACTCTTTCGAGTCCATCGATTTGGGCTTCTTCCCATCAGCTCACTGTGTACATAACCGCTGCAGGGGCTATTGCTATTCTTCCCCCGAACATAACGCATGTGTTATAAACGAATACAACGCCTAGGATGCTTTCTATTCGAACACAACGCATATGCGTTCTCTTCTTCTTCTTCTTCTTCTTCTTCTTCTTCTTCTTCTTCGTTTTCTTCATCCTTTTTTTCTTCTTCTTCTTCTTCTTCTTCTTCTTCTTCTTCTTCTTCTTCTTCTTCTTCTTCTTCCTTTTCTTCTTCTTCTTCTTCTTCTTCTTCTTCATCTGCCCCCTCTCGACGTCGTGTTGATGCTAATCTGCCGGGCTCTTTGTCTTGCCGACCGCGCCAGATCAGACCCGGCTTTCCAGTGCTGACCGACGATAACAGAAAAGAGGGCAATGATACGAGCCCTTCTTCCCCTTCTTCTTCTACTACTTCCTCTCCTTCTACTTGTCCTCCTTCTTCTTCTTCTTCTTCTCCTTCTTCTTCTTCTTCTTCTTCTTCTTCTTCCTTCGTTTTCTTCTTCTTCTTCTTCTTCTTCTTCTTCTTCTTCTTCTTCTTCTTCTTCTTCTTCTATATATATCTCAAACAGAGCTGCCCGGTAAACCGTAGGCAGAGATGGAGAGGACAAGAAACGAGGGGCTATATATCGTCAAACAGAGCTGCCCGGTAAACCGTAGGCAGAGAGGGAGGGAGAAGAGGACACCAAACGCGGGGCTGTGACAAACTGTTTTGTCGGAGTTTCACCGATTCATACACAACCCCACCTGACGGTGGTGATTACAGAGGTAGCCGTGCGAGCTGCAGCAGGCGCACTAACTGTTGAAATTCAGACCTGAGTTCGAATCCAGATGATGGAACTAGATGAATGAAATCAAATAACGCTCAATCACCTGGGTCTGGTCAATTCGACGCTATCTCAAGGCCGTCGCCCTTTTGGGGGGGGGGGGAGGGGGTTTACAAGCCCCCACCTGACGGTGGTGACCATGCCAGCTCCACCAGGCGCGCTAAAAACTTCCATTCTCCAATCCTCTTTCACTTTTTCTCTTAAACGAACGTGCTACTAGCGAAAGAAAAATCATGCATATGGCCAATTTCAACGTCCAGGTGCATTCATTCCAACACGCGCATTGCAAATTTTACATTCGCCGCTGACTGTGGTGATCACTGAGGTAGAAACGCCTGCTGAAGCAGCCGCAGTCAAAGCCAATTCTCCATTCCTCTTTCACTACTACTAAAACATCACATATATTATTTTCCTTTTAAATCGTATTTTACAGTTTTATACTAATATAATCTTTCATAATTTCATTATTCATCATAACCCCTAGTAACAGTGCAATAATGAAGGGAGGATTAATACCCGTTTTTCCACGTAAATTTGGCTCGCCATTTTTCCCATGCAAATTCGTGACGAAGCAGGCTTGTCATTCCTCTTTCTCTCTCTCTCTCTCTCTCTCTCTCTCTCTCTCTCTCTCTCTCTCTC